ACAGTTGCTTGGGATTTCGTGACGCAGTATGTGGTATTTGCTGCCTTTATGCCTACCAGCTCACCGTCTTATCGGAATCATGGACTGATCTGGTTTGAGATGTTTTCAAAGCTGGTTACTTATGGTTGTCACTTGCACCAATGGAATGAGTTATTCGTTTAATCCGATTGAAATTCCATCAGTTCATGTGTTCCCAGCAGACATTTTTTTATTGCTCCCGAAAACGCGATATTTCCAAATGATACTTTAGATACTTGTTAGTGGAGGTATGTTATAAGTTATTTATTTTGATCAATGAAGAGTCGGGATATTTCAGTTGATCCTGTGTGGTTGGTCGAAAGCACCTAGAATTATGCCTGAAGATTTTTCTATATGATGTTCATTCAAAATTATTGGGTTTGAGGATTTCTCCGATTGTAGTTCTTCCATCCATGTGAGTAGATCAGTCTGGTTATTCACTTTTCGATTTCCTCCTGGGTATGCATTAGCCACACTGCATATTGAAGACTACGTACGTATAGTAGCCCTATTCAAAATTGTTTCATCTACACAAACTCATCCAGATGTTTAACATAGGCAATGCAGAAATACTTGATATTCTCGTCTGTACTCCATTGGCTGTTAGATTTTTTCCCCACTATTTTCCGTCAAGTGCTTTTATTATGATTCATGAACTACTCAATTGTGCACAGGCGACGCTAACTGATCTGCAGTCATTTGTTTGGTTCACCACTCCAAGTCCCTGGGCTTAGGTTGCCCGTTACCGTCACTGAGCGGCAGGCCTTCGTGACTATGGGGTCCACCCCGACTGCTGTTCATCACAATTGGTGTGCAATAAAAAAAGTCGTAGTAAGATGAATGACTGAATGAAGGAAAAACGTGTGCTTTTTATGTTAAGGTTAATGAAAGCTTACTAAAAAGGTTAGAGACACTACTATCCAACCCACTCCTGTCATTAAAATTCTTTTACATGGCTAAGCAATGCCACCATTCGAAAATATTGTTTTAAAGCTGTTTTTACATCCGTGTCATCTTTTCCAGGTTGAACTCAGCGATGCTCCCCCATCCAAGGAGACCCCAGCAAATGCAACAAACGCAAAGAAACGCAAGTCACATACAGCACATTCCGGCTCTACCGTGTCATCTACTCAGAGATCTGAAGAAGAAGATGATGCGTCCGCTGACTCGGGCGATGATGTGAAACGATCAAAGTCAAGCACAGGTGCTAGTCGGCCCATGACTGGCAAACACAAGCCCTTCAAAAAACCAAGTGCCAACACAAGCCGACGGAAGGTTGAGGACGATGATGACGACGATGATCTTGATGATGATGACGAAGATGGCGCTTCTGTCGGAAAACGTTCAACTTCCAGTGCAAAAGCTAGTAAGAAGCGAACTAATGGCACTGAAAAAAGTAAGAAACCCATGCACTCTAGTTCAGTCTCAAGGAAACCGAGTTTGAACAAGAGTGCTCACGGAAAGGAAAAACGAGCCAAAAGCTCCAAGAGTAAATCCGGCACAGATGATGCAGATGCTAGTGGCAACGAGATGTTCCATTATGATACGGAAGAATGTTCTGCTCGACCATGCAAACAGCCACAAGACATTGCAATCGACTGGATTCAGTGTGATAAGTGTACGCTGTGGTACCATCAAGTTTGCGTTGGTTTGAAACCAAGCGATGCAAACGTCGAGACCTATTTCTGTCCCTACTGTAAGAAATAACTGTCGTCATTTGATCTCCCACAACTCCGCGTACCTTGTGATTCCAATGCCAGAAGCGTATTCAACTCGCAGGCTTACAGTGTATATATCTACAAACTGAACACATCGTCTAGCCAACTGGACCGACAAAAACCACTTAACGAAACAGTAAATGCAATAACTACAAATTGATCCTCACATATTGTTCTTTCCGTACTTCGATCCCAGAACGGCGTGTTCACCTATGTACAGTTTACTTAGTCTAGCTCGTATGGCCACTAAACGCCTCTAGGACAGACTGAATGCGCCATCATGTTCATCTTTCTCGTCCTGTGGCGAAAACCGTTGCGAGTAATAATAGTACCACCCGTCATTATTTCTCATGTTATATTTTCATGTGTGTGGAATGTGTGCCGCCTCATGACCTAGTTCTCGTATTCTTCAGAATCGTTTTCAATGGTCCGTGTAAATTTTTTGTACATACCTATTAGCAGGCTAGTGTCCACAGTACACACACTCGAATTATTCGTGTACATCTGCTACTCGTCACTCCTCTCTTGCCTCCTGTTAATCCGCCTTGTTTTGTCGCTTCTTTTTTCTGTCCTATCTTACTATCATCTGCCATTCAAGATTGTTGATAACGGTTTGTATGCTTTATGTTTGTCTGTCGATCGCTGCTTGATTCTTTTCGCTTGTCTATTTGGCTGCAACATGAAGGAAATACAAGAAGTGTACCAATCATTTGTGTTTCTGTCTCTCGGTTCGATTGTACTCTAATTCATCGAGTGGAATGTAGATGCACTATTTCCAGCCGAATAACGAAGTGTTAGTTGTCCTTTGGAGAAAGGTCATATCAGTTATTGCTACCTTGGAGGAATGTATGGTACAACACTCATATTTTCAGCATTGAAAAATTACGGCATAGGATCTTTCTAATTTGTGATCATGATTATTCAAGTAAGGTCAGTTAAAACGACTCGTGAATTCGAGAAACCGATCCCAATGGATTAGGTTCATTTACAGGCGAGCCGTATGGGCGCAAGCTATGCGAATTTGACGTGGAAGAAATACGGGCCAGATACGAATGAGAATTGCCTCCTGTGATCATTCGGGCATCACCTTAGACGCCAGGACGGGTTTTGAATTTTAATCGAGTTTTTTTAATTCAGTTTTGTGGTGGGAGTTACGTTTTCCGGATTTTAGGCAGGCCCCGACAGCTAGATTTGAAGCTTGTCGCACCATATGTACCAAGCTTTTGGTTAGCCAGTGCGCTGTATTGGGGAGGAAAAGTAACAGTAAACCATTTTTAATTCGATTCTTGGGTGGGTGAAGTCTCAGGTCCGTGTTCTACAGTACTTTTGTGTGTTTAATTACCAGATTGAATCACCATCCTGTAGGGTGAATGAGGGTTACCCGTTAGGCATTGCTCGGTTTATACAATCCTTAACCAGCGAAGCTTTCTACTCTGCATTCGCCGAACTGAAAATAATCCCGAAGGCTCGACACCTCCAAATTAATCTCCCATGTGACCTAAACTAAGTACGCTCAGAATTCAAGATGTCGTTTGCCGTTATCTGTTAATTGGGAGGGGCCGGTCGCCCTTAGGTTTTTGATGAGCTTGGTTTTCCGGCCTTCGCACTAAGATTCCCGGTCGGCACAACTAAATGAGTTTTGGTTCAGCCGAAAAAGTTCGACAAGTTGGTCGTAAAACTCGTCCTTTTTCGTATCCGAACTACAGTTAATCGGAGCGTATGCCATGATTATAAAGACTTATTTTGCTTCCCCTACAAGCATCAAGTTATCGCTGGAGCCATCTGGTTGATGAATGACTATTAATGGGAATCCAATTGATGAATGAGACTCGTCATCGTCATCGTACAGGGAAATGTAGTGAAGCGAACTTCACTATCATTATAATTATATTTCACACTTGTCTGAGGACAGACTGTGCCAAGAAAATCATGGTACAAAAAGAAATGTTCCATGATTGGCTTGTGGGCTGAATACTGCCAGGTTGCCCAGGCCAAGGCAGGTGAATTTTCTTCCGCAACCGGAGCCTTTGGCTAACCAAAGCCTGACCAGCAAGGCAGCGGGGCGGTGTGTGAGAACCGCAATCCATTGGGAGCTGGTGTCCAGTTCATTGGATCATACGCCCTTCGGATGAGGTCAGACGTCCAAGGTGCCCAATACACCTCAATACTCAATCGTGACCACTGCCACAACCGAAAAGATGTGGGTGTGGTTCTTACGCCTCCTTTTGGTTGGTTTGGAATCAGGGAGTTTAGCTAACTCTCCTAGGTGAACTACCAGTGGTCCACCAACCCGGATATCGGCTTTTCATCGTCTCATTGGTAGGAAAACACCTCTGCCACAAGAAGGCAGTGAGTAGGGCTTCCTCAGCAGAAGCTGTGAGACGCTTGGTCGTCTAGGAGCATTTTGTGATGTGCAAGGGAATGGTGACCAGCCGCAACCCTAGATATCCACCCCCGACCATACTGAGGATTTCCGAGGAATTTAGCTGATTGCCACCAAACTCCATGCATACAAGGGAAGTTATAAGGTGGAAGGATGGCAGGGATTGGGCCTATTTTTAAGGACGGGGAAAGAAAGAAGGCTTCATTGGTCGACACACAGGGTACACAGCACAACTGTGCATACATAATACTATTTAAATCATTCTGGTCTAATAAGAAGTGTCACTACTGCCGGTTTGCTGCCATAACCTTCAGTGTCCCCAACCATCCGGTAACGGAGTCTTTTGAAGCTCAACCCGAAAACAAGAGACACTGCTCAAATAGGAGAAACAGTGAGCTCTAACTAATTCCGGGCGTTCTACTTTCAAAACGAGACTAATGGACACCCAGTATTATAGCATTACTTCACGTTGAAGATGCAAAACCCATACCAACGGAAGCCACAAAAATTCCTAGTCTACCTAGTGTACTTTGACCGTGTTCCATACATTCAAATAGACAGACGATATGTTCGTTGTACTTTGAATGGCCTAGCTTTCCTTCAGCTTCCCAAGCAATATCCACATTTTGGAGACCACCTAACGCGTCCTCCAGTATTTTGGCTACGACGAAATTGAACAGGAATGGAAGAAAAAGGGAACCCCTGATGAACACTGCTGCTTTTGACGAACGAGCTAATTATTTCGCTTTAGACTACTACTACTACACCGCAAGTATATAAACACAGTCTCCCTGATAAGTTAACGTAATTCTGAGGTATTGCTTTACAAAAAAGAGAACCGAGAAGAACCTTGCCGTGAGCTGGGTCACAAGCTTATTTCAGATTAGCAAACAGCTGTCGGTGGTAGACGATATGTGCGATGCAACTCGAGGACTTGACACAACGAAAAAAATTAATCAATACCGGCGTTGGCAAGATGCCGCTCAAATTCACAAGTGGTATGTTTAGAGCACAGGAAGAGGTGGCTGGTGGATTCTCACGGCATTCAAAAGTGAACAAGACAAATGAGAACGGAATAGAGGAAATACTATTTGAACAGAATATGCGAAGAAGCTGTCCAACTGCTCGACCACTGATAAAGAGCCTTCTGTGAAACTACTAACGAACTGTTGCAATTTACTTGTTTCGCTTCCATAATCCTCAGTATGGTCGGGATTGGGTGTCTAAGGTTGCGGCAGGTCACCCTTCCCTTGCACTCACGAAATGCTTTCATACAACCAAGCGTCTCAAATGATCTCTGCTAAGGAAGCCCTACTGACTACCTTCTCATGGCGGTGTTTTCCCACCAAAGTGAGAGGACGAATAATCGACATCCAAGGCTATAACCGGGTTGGTGGACCACTGGTAGTTCACCAAGGGGAGTTGGGCAAAAACCCTGATTCCGAACCATCCGAGAGGAGGCGTAGGAACGAAACCTACACCTTTCCGGTTGTGGCAGTGGTCACCGACTCAGCTGGGCTTCGAGGTGTGTTGAGCACTTTGGTCGAACCCGTCCGAAGGGCGTATAATCCGATTAACTGGATACCGGCCCCCAATTAATTGAGGTTTTACCTCCACCCCGCTGCCTTGCGGGTCAGGCCTTTGCTAGCCGAAGGCTGCGGTTGTGGAATCCTCGAGAAAATTCACCTGCCTTGACCTGGGCAACCTGGCAGTATTCGGCCCTCATACAAATCGTGGAACGTTTTTCTCTTTTATGGAGATTATTGTATTACGATTTGTTTGCCACAGTCTGGCCCCAGACGTGTGTGGAATGTATATAATGTACATGTTTCGCTCTGTATAACCCGATTTACCCAGTCCATGTCGTTCTTACAAAAAATCATTTTCCTCGGTTTGGCACTGTTCCCGTGGCCTTATAACACTGACCAGGTCGGAATACAACCCATTGTTCGTGGATATTGGTCTCTATTTAAGGCATCGGACGTACACCGGAGGCTGATACTTTGGTTGCGGTCGTGATCAAACTTATCTCGCAATGGTTTGTGCAGTCGTTGCGTGATCTTTTCGAAAAGAAGTTGAACGCTCAACGATTCCGCCCTACATGAGGGAGTACATTCCTGCGTTCCGCAGTTAGCCAGCAACAGAGTCTACGAGGTTGCAACCCCCTCCCTATCTTGAAGCGTAGGGAAGCCCCCAAGGGTCTTTCTGCTTTTCTTCTCTTTAAAGCTTGAGTGCAGGACCGTACTTATTTTTCTTTTGGGAGGATCACAGGATACTGCCCACGGAGCTTCAGCAGCAGTAAAAGACACTAGCTGAACTATTCGTTGAAATACTTAGCCCAGCTAATCGCCTTCATCACTCACTGTTTAAGCATCTTGGACATGATCGATTTTAGTGAACCACATGGACAGTTTGGCACCATAATGCTCCATAATGCACCATAATGTCCCAAACTCAGTACAGCTACAGTTAGGCTGCGATAAACTATATCAATCGGCATGCCTAACCTCTCAAAACGCGCCAGCAGAAAATCTAGAACATTGATCAGCACTGGTTGTTTATCAAAAGTGCCATTTATTTTACTGGAGTTTTGGTCTGACACGTGT